CTCTATGTGACAAAGCACCAAATCAACTGAGCCGTCTGGTCCTGGGAAGAAGGTGGGCTTGGAAAGTCGAGAGTCAACAGCCCATGGTGACCCAAAGATTGGCTTGAAGTTGCCATGTGTTTTCCTTGGAGTGGGAGCAAACACCCAGCTCCTCTTTGGTGAATCAATCCTGACCTCCCAGCGCAGGTGTTGCTGTGTGACTGTGCCCATAAAGGCTTGTAATTCCCATCTATTTATTTTTACCTTTCTCCTAAGTGCCGGCTTCACTTGCTGCCGCAGTCATCATCTGCCAAGGTGCCTGCCTGGGGTTAAGATCTTGAACCCATGTTGAAGCACCTTGGCAAACACAATTTATGGCTTTGCACACCTTCTCTCTGAGCTTCAGCATGGAAAACACCCTGTTTGTAATTATTTGAAGTGTGGGACTTAGCATCTCAGCTTCCCTGGCTGGGAACCCCTGAGCATGTCCCAAAGAACTCTATCACTGGTGTGGCTTAAGGTTAGGGCAGATGCTTTGGCCAGTGCTTGTAGTCAAATGTCCTTGTAGGTTATGGGTGGAGGGAGGTGTGGGAGCATCCTTGGAGGACACCGCGGCTGCGTCTGGGTCCTGCAGCCTCCAGCGTCCTCTCCTGCTGCAGCCAGGAGTCAATAAAGCTGAACTGCTTGGACACTGCCAATGCAGATGTCTGGTAGCAGCTAAGTACCTGCCAATCTTCCCTCCCTGCTGCACCATCCTTTCATTAAAAAAGTCCTTTCTCAGAGTGCTGGGGTTTTCTTGGGGTTTTTTAGGGGTTTTTTAGGGGGTTTTTTAGGTGTTGCAACCCTAAATTCTCTGGTGCAGTAAGTGGAGGATTAAGGGCATGCTCCTGGGCAAAGGTTTCCTGCAAGGCCAGCAGGCCACTGCCACCGATCCCTGGAGTCACGAGTGTCCTGAAACAAGGGCTGCTTGTTCGGCACCACTGGCAGAGCTGGGCTCAGTGGAGGAGGTGGCTGGCCTGCCCGCGGCTGAGTGGAGCCGGGGCATCATCACCGCTTCCCTCCTCATATTGGGACAGTGTCCTGGGGTGTCCCAGGCAGCTTGGGCTGGGACAGTGCAGGGTTGCTGGAAAGCAATGGCCAGAATCAAGTGTGTGTCCTTGGACCCCCCCTTTGCACCCCTTTATCTCTTTTCCCAGAGTGGAAAGGTCTGAAACCCAGCAGGGCTCTAAGGGAGCCCGTCCCTGTGGGTGGCATGGCGGTGTGACCTGCTCCTGCCTTCCCTAGCCTCCAAAACCTGAGGTTTTGGATCAAAGAAGCATCCCACCAACAGCCCCAGCACCTAAACCCCCTTTAGGCTGTAGCAGCAGCAGGAGACCACTGGGCACCAGCAACACCTTGAAGGAAAGAGATTAAAACACCTCAGAAATCCAAGACCAAATGAACATCCCGAGCATTCTAAACAGGAGGGAGAGTGACTTTTTACGTGGGCAGACAGTGATAAGACAGGGAGAAATGGTTTTAAACTAAGAGAGGGGAGATTTAGGTTAGATATTAGGAGGAAATTTTTCACCCAGAGGGTGGTGAGACAGTGTCCCAGGTTGCCCAGAGAAGCTGTGGCTGCTCCTCCCTGGAAGTGTTGAAGGCCAGGTTGGATGAGGCTTTGAGCAACCTGGTCTAGTGGAAGGTGTCCCTGCTGCTGGCAGGGGGGTTGGGACTGGATGAGCTTTAAGGTCCCTTCCAACCCAAACCATTCTATGTTTCTATAATTCATTAATGAATTTATTACAGATGTCTCTAAGACAGAAACAAGAAGTCAGCCCCTGCAGCAGGGCGTTGAGCTGCAGCAGTCCTCACCAGAGGGTGTTTTTGAAGCTTCATCTTCAGAGCAGGGCAGAAAAGGTCAGTTTTTGATGCTCCATCTTTGGAGCAGGACAACAAGGAGCAGTTTTATTGCTAAACCTTTGAGCCATGGCCCAAAGCAGCTGCACTTGGCCCCATATGACACAACCCTGCAAACCCTGAACTTCCTTCCTTTTTTTTCCCATTTTGGGCACGTTTCACCCTGTCATCCCCCGTTGTGCTGACAGTGCTGGAGGAAGGCACGCGGTGCCGTCCCCCTGCCTCAGCAACTTGTGTTCTGCAACAGCTCACGTGGGCCTGTCCCCACCACCCTTGACTCAGCTAATTCCCCCTCACCCAAGGCATTGACCAAACTCCTGCCAGCGCCATCCAGGCATTGACAAATGTGATGGGTTGGAGTGGCAGAGGTTGTCTGGGACCACCACTGTTACCACCACCAGGTCTGTGTCCCCACCACCAAGCTGCCACCGAAGCAGCTGTCTATGCACAGTGAGCAGGGCTGGGGATGGGGACTTGGATCTCCACACTGAGCCCAGCAATATCTGACCTGCATAAAAGTGGGACGAACATCTGTACCTGCTCACCGGGCATGTTTTGAGCATCCTGTAATTAATGTTTGCTCAGTGATTGAGGCTGATGAGTGCTTAGTGTTATTAGCAAATGATGAGTAGCTGATGTTGTTGATGTTGCTACCTCCAGACATCTAATTTCAGCATCTGGACTGAGGAAAAAGGCCAGGGGCCAGACTGCTGGTGCTGAAATCCTGCCAGGCTTTATGTCTTTGGAGGTGGCTTCCTACCAAAGCGTTCCTGCTTTGCGTCCCTGGCAGCACTGAGTTTGGACCCATATGGTGGCCATGGTGGCACCTGTGCTGGTGGCACGGTGGGGTAAGCAGCTCCCCTTGGTAGGGTGAGATGTGCAGAGCCCTCAGACGTGAGGCAGTGGAGGACTTGGGGACACAGATGCAAGAAGAAGTTCAGGGGCCTAATCCAAAGCCCAGTGAAGGTTTCTTCTGTATTTAACCATCTTGATACATGTGTATAAGACCAGATAAAAGAACTGGATGTTTGTGAAGGAGCACTGAGTTATCCCAGCCCTCTTCCTGTGCTGCTGGACATGGTGTGGGCAGCAGGTCGAGGGAGGGGATTCTCCCCCTGTAGTCTGCTCTCCTAAGGCCCCACCTGCAGTGCTGCCTCCAGTTCTGGAGCCCCCAACACAAGAAAGACATGGACCTGTTAGAACGAGTCCAGAGGAGGCCACCAGGATGATGCGAGGGCTGGAGCAGCTCTGCTGTGAGGACAGGCTGAGAGAGTTGGGGCTGTTCAGCCTGGAGAAGAGAAGGCTCCGGGGAGACCTTCTAGTGGCCTTCCAGTACCTGAAGGGGCTCCAGGAAGGCTGGGGAGGGACATTTTATAAGGGCAGGGAGTGACAGAACAAGGGGTGATGGCTTTAAATTGGAAGAGGGGAGATGGAGATGAGAACTGAGGAAGAAGTTCTTTGGTGTGAGGGTGGTGAGACACTGGCCCAGGTTGGCCAGAGAAGCTGTGGCTGCTCCTCCCTGGAAGTGTTGAAGGCCAGGCTGGATGAGGCTTTGAGCAACCTGGTCTAGTGGAAGGTGTCCCTGCTGATGGCAAGGGGGGAACTGGATGAGCTTTAAGGTCCTTTCCAACCCAAACCAGTCTGTGATCTATGATTCTATGTGTGAGGGACAAGTGCCCACATAGGGATGCTCATTCATTTCTTTCTTTATTTCTTGAGGACAATAAAAGCGCTGGTGAGAGTGACACTTGTGAAGCCTTTAAAACAAAACATACTTTTTGATTACACAGAGATGAAAAAAACCTAAGCCACTGTCATCTTCATCTCCTCCATCCATGATCCCACTACCACCCAGCAGGCACTGCCCTGAGCGGCCAGTTGGTGGTATTTTTTTTCATGAGGTTGTTCTGGGGAGCTCCCAGGGATTTGGGGTGCCATGTCCCCTGTGAGCACAGTGGCCTCTAGTGACAACCACTCACATCCAGCTCTGGGGAAAGAAACCTGCAAATGAATCTTGGGGGGGCTGCTTGCTCTCCAGGAAAATGAGGAGCAGAGCCCAAATTGCCAGAGGAGAAGCATCCCTGTACCGCATGGTGCTGGGCAAGATCCTGAGCACACCCACTGACCCCATCTGCCCTGAGCAGCTGCACCTGGGACCCCCACCCACACCCTCCACCCACGGCCCTGCAAACCCATTTAAGCTCAGGCCTGGGCACCTACTCCTTCCCTGGCCCTTGGGGTGCTGGGCTGTGTCCTGGTTCCTGTGTGGCTTCTGCTGTAGGCAGCTCATGGCCATCATCTCCAGTGCCCTCTCCTGGTGGGACATCAAAGCTGTGTGGCACCTCTGTCTCCCGGATGGACTTCAGACCTGGGTTGTAGCCTTGTCCCTGGTCCATCTCCTGCAGCTCTGGGAGCTGAGTGTCCTACAGGTCTGGATCTCCTAAGTCCACTCTGTGAGCAGCCTGCATGCTTGAGGAAAGGTGACTTGTGCTATCATCTCTTCTGTAAGGGGGAGCAGCTTGGGCTTTCTTCAACTTGGTCACCCATTTCTAAAAGGTTTGGAGGTCTTTTATAGCTTTGAAGTCTTTCTCCCTCTGCTGAGTTTGGTTGGAGGTGCCTGAAGGACTTGTTAGCACGTTAGTCTCCTCAGGAAACAAAGCTGAGTGTGTCTGGTGAGGCAGGGTCTTGAGGGCTTCCTTTGGACAGAGGTCCTGGGAATAAATGTTGGAGACTGAGCAGAACCAGACAGCATTTTTAGTGCTGGGTTTCATGCTGCCTTTAGCTTCTGTGTGGGGCAATAACTTCACTTATTTTGCTGCAGAAGAAAAGCCCCCAGGTCATACTGGGTATGTCCTCAGTGTCACAGCAAAGGTGTCCTTCCTTCCTGGAGTGGTTCCATTTTTTGGCTTGATCCTAAGATGTAAAGGACCTCTGTGTCAGGAGCAGAAATGAGCATCAAGTCTTGCCTGGTAGTCTGTGCTCTCATGCAGTGCTCTCACTTCCTTTTCCTGAGGTTGCTTGTTGCAGGTTGGGAAATCCTTCCCTCTCCACCAGAAGGTTTGCCTTCAGCTTGCCCAGTCCTCTGTGCTGGTGGGAAGGTGATCTGCTGACCTGAAAGCCCATCAGCAGCAGGAAGGGACCCAGGCAGAGGGTATCCCCACATCTTGAGCTCCCTGGATGTTATGAAGGCCATCATCAAAGAAAATGTGGGGCTGGATCTGGGCAAGGATGGGGCCCTTGGGAGCCCCATCCATGAAGAAAGCCTCATCAATGGCCAGACCCCACTCTCGGAGTGTCTTGATGGCTCGGATGCCCATGTCCCGGCCGCTGCGGGCAGTCACCAGGTAGGTACGGATGGGGGATTCTTCCTGGCTGAACTTCTTGCGTATCTTCCCAAGGTGCATGGCAAAAGCCTTCAAGGGTCCCTGGAAGCACAACAAGACACTTGGGATTCGCTGGGAAATAAGGAGACATCTTCTCTACCTGTACAAACCACTTGTTCCTCTTCCAGGGTTTCTCAGGGCCCTGTAGAGCACAGGGACACCTGTGTGGTGTGGGATTGGGCACTGATGGGACTGGTGATGTGCACTGGGGTGCTCTGGAGGAAGGTGAGCATTGTGGTGCTTGTCCTAATCCCAAAGTGACCAGGAAGGTACATCCCAGTGAGCAGTGCCTCTGGGTCTGAGTCCTCCAGGGACTTGCACAGCAAGAGGTCTCAGCCTACAAAGGGTGACGTTGGAGGTAACCACAACCCTGGATATCTGGGAGCTGATGCTCACTTATAGGAGACATCAGGCCAGGTTCCTCTCAAGAGGGACTCCAGATCATGCCCACACCAGGGACCAGTGGTGGATGCAAAGGGAACCTGTAAGAATTTGTGCTTTTTTTGACTACTCATGGCAAAGTCCTACCAGGAGAGATGCTCATGGTGGGTGCAGAGCCTGTGGATGTCCATTAAAGTGGGGTGGCTTGCTCACCTCTCCCATGGGCACAGCCTCCATCTCCCGCTCGTATTGCACTGCTCCCTCCAGCCCCTGCTCCCGGAAGACCTGGTCCGTCTCGTCGGAGAAGAGCACGGCGTCCCCGTCAAACACCACGCGGAGCGGGGTGCTGGGGGCCTGTACCTCCTGCTGGAAGATGAGTGCTGACGAGACCCCTGCGAGACACAGCAAGGTGGGACTCAGGAGGGACACCCCTTGCTGGGAGCAACTCCTCCATGTACATCTGCCATGGCTTTGTCCCACACTGCAAATGTTGGGGTCTCCAAGCCAGAGGGTTGTCTGTGGGGGTCATCCCAACTTTTCTAGGTCTGTTATCCCCCCATGGGGATGGACAAGAAAGCATTGCTGATCAGAGGTCTGGAGAAATACTGAGGACAGAGTCCAGCACAGAGCCACCAAGATGAGGAAGGGAGTGGAGCATCTCCCTGCTGAGGAAAGGCTGAGGGAGCTGGGGCTCTTTAGCTTGGAGAAGAGGAGACTGAGGGGTGACCTCATTAATGTTTATAAATATGTAAAGGGGGAATGTCAGGAGGATGGAGCCAGGCTCTTCTCAGTGATGCCCAATGGTAGGACAAGGGGCAATGGGGGTGAGCTGGAACACAGGAGGTTCTGCTTCAACTTGAGAAGAAACTTCTTTCCAGTGAGGGTGCCAGAGCCCTGGGACAGGCTGCCCAGGGAGGTTGTGGAGTCTCCTTCTCTGGAGACATTCAAAACCCGCCTGGATGCCTTCCTGTGTGATCTCATTTAGGTTCCTGCTCTGGCAGGGGGATTGGACTGGATGATCTTTTGAGGTCCCTTCCAATCCCCCACATTCTGTGATTCTGTTTGAGAGATGATGGGTGGTTTTGTAGGCATGAGCAGCTCTTCCTGGTGCTCGCTCACCCTGCCAAGCCTGGCTTTAATGCCCAGATTTACCACTCTGTGCTGTGAACAACAGGGATGGGCACCTCCACTTGATTGGGGTAATTGGCTTGATTACAGGCCCCTTCCTATAAGCTCCTGCACATCTGTCCTCATCCACGGACCCAGGCCCCTGGATGAGAGACACTCATCAGAGCAATGATGCTCTTCAAGAAGGCTCCAGGAATATGCTGTGTAGGAAAGGAAAGCCCAGGCTGCAGGTGGCTTGCTCCTGACCTTGATGAACCTTGGCCAGCTCAGGTACTCATACCCAAACAAATTAATAAGGAGGTGATTAACCCCATTAGATCTGTTGGGGAGACTGCACTCCCTCTGATCTAGGTCAAGCAAGTGCTTACATCTGTCCCTGAGGACATGCTCACTCTGCAGGTACCAAGAAAGCACGTTTCTATGTGAGGGCCCTCACAAAGCCCTGGGAATCGCTGATGATCCAGGGAGCAGCAATGGGCAGCATCTTTGGTTAGAAAAAACAGGGCCACCAGGATGATCCGAGGGCTGGAGCACCTCTCCTATGAAGACAGGCTGAAAGAGCTGGGGCTGTTCAGCCTGGAGAAGAGAAGGCTCCAGGGAGATCTTATAGCAGTCTTCCAATACCTGAAGGGGCTACAAGAAAGCTGGGGAAGGACTTTTCATGAGGGCAGTTAATGACAAAACAAGGGGAAATGGCTTTAAGCTGAAAGAGGGGAGGTTTAGATGAGATATTAGGAAGAAGTTCTTCACTGTGAGGGTGGTCAGACACTGGAACAGGTTGCGCAAGGAAGTTGTGGATGCCCCCTCCCTGGAAGTGTTGAAGGCCAGGTTGGATGAGGCTTTGAGCAACCTGGTCTAGTGGAAGGTGTCCCTGCTGATGGCAGAGGGGTTGGAACTGGATGATCTTTAAGGTCCCTTCCAGTCCAAACCATTCTATGATTCTATGAAAAAGCTTAAATGTCAGGCAGAGAATGACCAGCCCGTGGCAAAACTATGGCCAAAATGATGCATAAAGCACTTGGTGACTTGTGAAGGCATCTGAGAAAAGCTGGTGCGTTTGGAAGTGGGGGCAGAAGAGGAGATGGAATTGTTCAGGACTGTACTGGTAATTGAGGTGACATTTACCCGCTTGTCCCTGTGACAGGATGGGCTCTGGTGTGGCCTCTTGGAACTGAGCTGCTTGGGAAAAGTGTGGTGGGTTTGGGAATGTGGGATGGAGGGGAGAACACACCTCTTCGGAGGGCATTGCAGACATCTGTCCGGTCAGCTGAGAGGAAGAGCTTGACCCTGTGGGACTTCAGGTATTGCGTGGAGTCCTCGTCGCTGACGAAGCAGAACTTGGAGATCTCTAGACCTTTGGGTCAGGGGATATGAGCAAAGTCTGTTATGAGGCAACATCCTCCTCACAGCCCTCCCTTCCCTCCCTGGATCTCAGTGTGCTCGCTGCAGAGCTTGGGGCAATTCTTAGTGCTGTGTAAGGAACCCAACCATGTTCTTGCTGCATCTTCTTGCCCTGTTGCTCCTACAAAACTTCAGAGAGCAGTTAGATATCTAATTCCTTCATCCCTCCCTGAAATGACCCTTCCTGCCAGCACTCTGGAATTTAATGTTTTGAAGAATCCTGTTTCTTTAGTATCTTCCTGAGGATGCCAGGCTCTGCAAAATGCTGCTGGACCCTCTGGTGCAAAGGACATGGCTGAAGGAAGCCAGGTTCTGCCAAGGAACACTGGCTGTGCTCCAGCACTGGGTGCAAGCTGCATGGGGCTGGTAGGAACTGGGCTTGTTTCCAAAACAACCCCTTCCCCTTGTGTCCTCTGGCTCTGTGTTTGCTGCTGATGCTCTACTGTGGTGCCTTCTCAGCTTTGCAGGCTCCCCCCCCCGCCCAGGGATGGGGTCCCCCTCACCATAGTGCTTGGCGCTGTTGATGATGCGTGTGCCGCTCTCTGGGCTGTTGTTGGAGAGCACCAGGATGTCAAAGAGGTCCTTCTCTGGTGGGTTGCTCTCCAGGATCTTCTCATTCACATACCGTGCTGCCTGTGAGGAGAAGATGAGACTCTTGTGGAGACTTTCACAATTGAGATGTTCGTGATTTGTGCTGCATCTGTCAGCTATGGCAAAGCTAGTGCATGATGGAGAGCCAGGTGGAGCAACCATCCTGCAAAAGCCATCACCAGGAGGGCAGGGAGTAGGATACCCTACTGAGGGAGGTGGACATGTGGGACTGGTGAGGAGCACAGGTCCTGATGCCCTGCAACAAGGCTGAGGCCAGAACAGATGTATCTGCACCCTGTGATGGGAGCTGTGACCCAAAGCTGAGAAAACTGAGCTTTCACCCCATCCTGCATGTGTCTGCATGTGGTCCTGGCCAGGCATGGGGCTCACCTGGATGAAGGCAAAAGCTGTGCCTGGTGGCAGGGGCTTGTCCTGGTTGGCTTGCTGATGCCTTGTGTACTCCTCCTTGCCCTTCTCCAGGTAGAGCTTGTGTTCCTCTTCCAGGTTGAAGATGGCTCTGGTGGTGACCGCAATGACCAGTGCCTTGCTGGGGTCTTTCTGCAGGACAGGGAGGAAAGAGGGATTGGGGGACAGAAAAGAAGGAGCTTTGGGTTGAGCAGAGGCACACAACACTTCACTGACCAGGGTGGTAGGGTTGGGTGTTGGAAGCATCACCCATATGTCACAGTTCCTGATGCCAGAAGGCCTTTGGAGAAGAGGTACCAAGCCCAATCTTCATTTTCAGGCCACCAAGGATGGAACAGGCAGTTGTGAAACCCTAACCTGTCTGGTAAGTGCCATGTGCTCTGAGGACAGCACACACCAGAGGGAATTGCTTCACAACTTTGGTGTTTGTGGGCACAGCACATCCATCGTCACCTGGTTGAGCTGAGCTGGGCACTGCTGGGTTTCTCTGCACGTACTGGTGGCTTTACCCTTCATTTGTGTCTGTTCTGGAGAGTCTAATAAACTCTCTGTATGTACAGAAGCTGCTGCTTTCTCCCTGGTTGCTCCAAAATTTAAGTGAGCAAACGCACCCATTCTGTCCATGCAAATGAAGGTGCAGCCCTGCAACCTCTTTCCATCTGGAAATCCCATGGACCTCACTGGGACCAGGTGCCCAGTGGCCTTAGAATCATAGAATAGAATCATGGACTGGTTTGGGTTGGAAAGGACCTTAAAGCTCACCCAGTTCCAACCCCCCTGCCATCAGCAGGGACACCTTCCACTAGACCAGGTTGCTCAAAGCCTCATCCAACGTGGCCTTCAAGACTTCCAGGGAGGAGCAGCCACAACTTCCTTGGGTAACCTTGGGACAGGCCACTTCTGAAAACTAGGCATGAGCAATTTAGGCCACTGCAGCTCCAGGTTGTGGTGTGTCCTCTCCTGTGGTAGCATTTCAAAACTTGCTTTAGAAATACAGCGTGCATGTTTTGGAATGAACAGCATTTTACCTGCTTCACCTCGGTGTTTATGATGGTGCTTTCAGGCTCTGCCATCTTCAACTCTCACCCTCAAAGAGAAAATAAGACAATTAAACTGATAGATTATTATTATCTAGCCAATCTAGAGAGGGGGAAGAGTGGAAAAGAGACAGGGGACATCCTACCCATCAAGTGGAGCAGGTCAAATGAACCTGCTTCTGCTGACAACAGCTCTGCTCTGAGGAAAAATCATCTAATAGTTCTAATTAAATATGATTAAAAAGTGGCTTTTGGATGTTTCCCCCCCACCCTGAAGAGTATTTTTCTCTGAGGGCAACTGCTGCAAGTGTTTGAGGAGCTCTTTTCCTAGCAAGGTAAGTCTGTCTTTACGTAACTTAACTAGGACTTGGAGACTGATTTGGTCTAAAAAGCCCAAAATAAGTTGGATCTTCTGGGTAGGCTTCTAATTCCCATCCTTATTGCCTTTCTTGCTCCCCCTTTTTTTTTTTTGTTTGCATGATGAATTTCATAGAATCATAGCATGGTTTGGGTTGGAAGGGACCTTAAGATTTGTATCCACAAATAAGCAAGTTCACGGTGTGAGCAGCTCATTTGCAGCTATAAAAGGCCTGAGGAAGTCGATTTGGGTTGGGATGGGACTGTGATGATGGGGCTGGTCCCCTTCCACAGCCCCATGAGCCAGCCAAACCTCTGCACTAATGGTCGTGGTGCAGGCTGTGCCAACCTAGGTCTGGCAGATGAAAGTCACGGGGGGGTTCCATGGTCTGTCTGTCCCCAGCAGCTGAACAAGAACTCCCCTTTATTTTTGTACACCCAGGTCCTGTGGTTTCTGTAACCCCCACCATGCACGTTTCTTTCCTATGCACTGGTCAGTGCTAGAAATGGACTTGTAGGATTCAGCCTGTGGGATGGGAACTGTTCCCATTCCCACTAAGGAGCATCCTACTGGGGTTACTTCCAACCAGCAGCTCCTATAAATATGCTGTGGGATTTCTCTGGAGAGTGGAGGCAGCAATGATCTCTCTGTCCAGATGTGCTGGAGATGGCAGGGGCGTTAAGACCTCATTTACCAGTTCGGCCCATACCTGAGTACTGGGTTGGGAGGCTGTGCAAGCAGAGACCAAAGCCAGCATGCAGTGTGAAGGGCAAGTCAGCATCTCCAGGGAGACTTTGGGCACTTTCTTTTGTCCCTTTCTTTTGCTCCGATTTTCTTCAATTCATTTTTTATTATTCAGGGGCTGTGCAAAGTGTTGCCTGGGCTGGTAGGAATGGACTTGGCTGATGCCAGAGCCTTGCCCAGGGGGGTTCCATGCTTTTGTGAGCACTCCCCAGCTCCCCAGGGGTGGAAGCCAGGGGAGCCTGGAAAGCCAGGAGATGCTGAGCATCCCTCTGCTTCTTAGAATCATAGAATCCCAGACTGATTTGGGTTGGAAGGGACCTTAAAGCTCATCCAGTCCCAACCCCCCTGCCAGCAGCAGGGACACCTTCCACTAGACCAGGTTGCTCAAAGCCTCATCCAGCCTGGCTTTGAAAACTGCCAGGGAGGAGCAGCCACAGCTTCTCTGGGCAACCTTCTTCTACCCATAACCCCTGCTAAGAAGGGGTTTCCTCCCCCAGGGCAGACCAGAGAGTGGCAACCATGACTACTAAGCAGGGAGAAGCTTTCCTCTGATGGAATTTCAGCCAAGCACTCTGCTCAAATAAGATTAGAGGAGGCAACGGAGCTGAGCAGCCCTTCCTGGAGGGAGAAAAACACTTCTAAATTCAGCTCTGCCCTTCCAAGTGCTGCAAACCCAGCCTGACTTCTCCTTCCCATCTCCATCCTTCTAACAGCAGGATTGTTTCCATACTGCTATGTGTACGTGCACATACCCCCTCTCCACCCCCAGCACCCCCCATGCACGCGACGCCGGACACGCAGGAAACCATTTCAGAGAGACCATTTCATGCTGCTCCTCACAGCTCACCCTACAGCCATGTCACTATCACCCCACTGCACCCAGCCAACGTTTTGGGGAGAGAGAGACAAACCCAACCTCACCGTCAGTGCTGCCTGTCCAGCCACAGCATCCAAACTTCACCCAAGATGCTGCTGTTTATATTTCCCCCTCCGTGTGTGAGCAGGAAGCAGCAGGAGCCAAGCTGGGGTGCAGCTCCGTTCCCCGGCGTGCTGGGATTTGTAGGCAGCTGAATGTTGGCGTCATGCCTGAGCCAGACTGGATTTCCCAGCTGGCTCATGCCTGCCTGGACCTGGCTATGACCATGCTCCTAAAGAAAGGGACTCAGCCCCAATCCTGCTTTTTAAGCTCCCTTAGAGCTTTTGCTTCGATTCTTTTGCCGAGTGGCTGCTCGCTGCCCACAAGCGCAGCGGCGATGGTTATTTCTGTAGCTGGGGTATTTATAGCCAGTCTCCAGACCTCTCATTTCCTCCAGACTTCTCATTTCCCAGCCCTTCAATACATCACGGTTGTGGGTTTGATTGAAAATATAGAGGTACCTGCTCCAGAGCAGCTTGTGGTGTATGCAGGGGGGTGCAGCGGGGACTCCCCACATTTGCAATGTTACTGTAATATTTTCATATAATCATAGAATCATAGAATGGTTT